GAGTAATTAAAAGTAGGCCCCGGGTGGTCGTTATCTCCGTACTCGAAAGTGGATTTTCTTCAAAGTGGTCTCTCTCTTTCTCTCGCCATATCTTAAGCCCTTGTTTCTCATTTACGCACTGCAAAAGCCTGGGGGCGAAAAGGGCAGAAATAAGGGCCTAAAGACAAAAGGGCAGAACCGGGTAAGCGGAACTAAAAAGCGCTCTTCGTTAGTGGTCACGAACAACGCAATCCAAGACCAATTAGAGCATCGCGTACGAGAAAAAAAATAAAACTGTTCATTTATACTTTAAAACTATATTTAACACATATTTATTTTTCATATCAAAAATCATAAGTGCAATTTGAAAGAAAACGCTCAGTTTTTTGGTGAAGAGGTGGTTGGTTTTTTCTGATATACAATGGACGGGTTGTAAATCTCGCTCCACTATCAACTCACAAATTCACTATGTTGTTTGAAAATAGATGTTCCTATTGATTCTCTAGTCCTGAAGAAAGGGTTATAGCTCACAAGTAACCAGTTGGTCTACGATGTATATCATTTAGAACATACGGTGTGTCCAACTTGGACGTTTCATAGACGATTTAATGAAAGTGACGGTTTAGTGAAAGTACGATTCATCCAAGATGAAAATTTTTGGTAAAATACTATTAATCCACATTATGCTAAATTTAGCAACAGTTCCCAAGAGTTTGATAGTTTGTGATTAGGTAGGAACTAGTCTGTAGGTCAAGAGTCATCGCTGTTGGCAGAAACTGACTAAATCGATTGATCTCAATCATATACGTGTACATATACTTTTATACAGAAATGAGCTTATGACCGATTTCGGTATTTTGGCGGTCCGGGGTCAGACCTTGGACTTACACATCCAGTAGCTTTAGGGTCTATCAGCAGCTAGGTCATTTCAATCCCCAACGCATGTTGTTTTATAGATAAATGGCATACTTACATATTCTTTCCTGTGTTGATTGATTTATGTAGGGTGTTTGTACTCATATTCACACATACTACATCTAATTGAGGGTCGATGTGGTGCTCAATATTCCACCGTAGGCTCTCGCCAATGCACTGCACACTGCTCTAAAACACTACAATAGGTGTCTTTCAAGCTGTTACAAGATCAAATCTTTGGGCCTTTCTGGAATTTATATTTAACTTTTTTTCCTGAGCCACTTCTTTTGGAGTATCATTTTAAGAAGATATCTACCAACAATTATATGCAATAAAACAGCCTTGCTTCCTCTAAAAATTGGAACAGAGGACCCAGAGACTCGCTGCAATGCTTGAAGCCGATTCTCATCTCGGCTGGGATTCCTACGAGCTCCTGTATAGAGCCACGATATCTATATAAGGGATGACGGCCTTCAATTAGTGAGACACATCGAGCAACCTGTCTCTACAGATACATAGGCTTTGGCCCAAAATTAAGTGACCATCTGTCCACAGAGAATAAATCCATCCATTTCATTCACATCTGAAATTCTGTGAAAATATTATTAATCGACAGCACAATGCTAAATTAAGAACTGGGTCGAAGTTTGATGGTACCTGGTAGTTAGGAAACAGTCTGCAGATGAAATGTCATCGCTGGCCCGCCCATTCTTGTTGTTTGAAAACCACCTTAATTTACCATCCTTTATTTGCCATTTTGACCAGTACATAAGTACCAGTTATAAACCTAACTAAAGGATCATGGATGATTCTTATTCATAAAAAGGTTTAGGTCCATTCAGGTAGCATAAGTTTGTTAGAAATATACTAGTTTAACTTTATTATACTTAGAAACTAGAGGTAACAGTTTGATGGTGTCTCCTGCCCAGACTAGCTGCCCCCAACAATCAATCGGAAATCAATCCAGCTGTCTTTTATATGTTATTCTGCTGTAAACATACTACGGGATCATCATCATTTTCAAACAGTACTTCTTTGGGAAAAAAATTCGCTTTAGACAGTCAACCTTCATACAATTCCGCAAGACTCTTTTTTAATGTTATGTCTTATGGATTCGGTGCGTTGTTATTGTTGTTATTCTCTTTTAAGAGTTTAACGAGATTCGATTCTCAGTTTGTTATCCGTATATCGGTGTGATCAATAAAGTCCATTCTCGAGGGTACAGCGGATTGTTATAGATAAGTGAACGGTAACAAGGCTCTCAAAATCGTCCCCTTTGTCCTCCTCTCCAAATTCCCCTGGACCCTGCCGATATTCTCTATATGTCATTTCACGCTCCGGCCGTCCCTCGATTTCTTTGTCGCACCGGTCTACCTAGTCCTTTTGATCTGTGCCACTCAACGCGTGGGTTGTCCGTTTTCTCGAAAAAACCAAATATGACTGATACGGAGTGTGATGTGTTTGTTATATTTTGTAATTTGGTCGTTACCGATCATTTGGGTCTGCCTAGACTTGATGGATTGTTCTGTCAGACTGTTTAGGCATTTCGCCGGCTTTAGTGTTCTATCTAACCCGCCCTAAAGATGACGAAATGCCAAAACCTGTCTGAAAGACCAACACAGCGAGGATAGGCGCACCAAAATGATTAATGAACACTGCATATCGCACAGAGAAATTTCACAAATAGATAACAAACAGTGTTGGAAAATTACTGATGCAAGTCATCGACAAAACTAACTCAAAAGACAAAAATGGTATACATGACTGGTAATGTGGAGAAAAATATTGGGCTGTGAAATAAGTTCGTAGCGTTTTTTAATGACTCGATTCGATTTTATCCCTTTTATGTTTTGAAATAATTTTCATAAGTTATTTCATAATATAAAACAGAATGAGCATTAAAAGTGCAACATCTTTTCCATCGTGTTTCTGATACCTTAAGCTTTGATAAAGTCTGACATGTAGGATTAATATACAAAATAAATAAAATAATAATCTTTACAACAGTACGTACAACTACAACTTCTCATAGAGCTTATTCAGAGTAAAGAAAGAGGACGAATACCCCAAAATTTTACTAATAATAGTTGGTGTTCCTCAGGGAATCGTCCTAGGACCTATGTTTTATCTGTTTTATACCTTCTTCGGGAGTACGTATAAATTCTCTCCTACTACCTCAAAGAGAGAGACTAATCCGAGTAAAGCTAGAGGACGAATACTCCGAATTTTTACAAATAAAGGCAACATCGTAGGACCTATCTGTAATCTGTTTTATACCTTCCAATCCAGTACGTCCTCCTACCTCACAGAGAGACTATTCCGAGTAAGCTAGAGCTCTAATACTCCGAACTTTTAGGGCCCGTTGCTCCAGCCACGGTTAAAACCGTGTTCACTGTAACTTCGTTCATGATTTGAACCATGTTCAGAGAAGGGAACCTTGCACCATCTGTAAGGGACCACCATAAGCCCAGTTCAACCACTAGTTGGTAGAACTGATTGTAGTCTCTTTATACGGCTATCCCTAGTGATAGTGTTCATTCATTGCTTACATTGGTTGCTGTACCACTTTCCGTAGACTTTTATTTAGTATTTTTGTGTTTTTACTTTTNGGAAAATGCTTCTATTGTCAAAGAAATGGAAATCACCGGATCCACTATTGCAAAATTAAGGTCTTTGGCACAAAACTTATGATTTTATGAACCTCTCGGCCTAATGATGATACGACTTCACGAATATAAATAGATATTCGAGATAACATGCGTTTTCTAGCGCAAAAGAAATTGCCGGACTTTTTATTCCTGATTAGAACAACAAAATTAAGACAGTTAGAACATTGTTTAAGAAAGATCATCAAAAGTTAACATGTTTTTATTGATACGTGTAAACAAAAAATCAAAAGTGAAATCGTAAGAACACGCTTTGAACAACAACATTTTTTGGATTATTTTTTTGTAATTAAATTGATTTACACCGCTTTATTCTGTCTCTCTCTATCTCTCACACTCTCACTCTCTCTCACTCTCACACTCACACTCTCTTTTTCTCATTCATTCACACGCTTTTTCCATTATTTCTATTATGAAATGGACGTCGTTCAGCTCTGATCTCCGTTTAACCCACGCACGACGGCCGTTCAAAATTGAACCTGGATCATCGTTTGAACGCGGTTCAAGACAAATTGAAACCCTGCAAGTTTTGAGTTGAACTCGGTTCAATGCTGAATTGAGTTTAAACCAAGTTGGTGCAACGGGCCCTTACAAGTAGAGGCTGGTGTTCCCCAGTCAATCGTCTTAGGACCAATCCTGTTTATGCTTTGTACCTGTGACCTGTCACCAAAAGAAAACACAACTATAACAAAATTCTCATCCTCAAACACTCTCATTTGCCAATGCAAAAAGATACTGAATGTGATTTGGATCTATGGAATAATTTGTTCAGAGAATCACGCTTCATGGTGTTTTACTAAGATAAAAGTAAATTTAACTAATTTTGTGTATATAATAATCAATGTAACATTATTGGTTGGATAATTTGTTTATGCTAGTTTTAGTATATTAATCGACTTTTTAACAGTTTTGTTTTATTTCCTCGTATAATAGAAACTTCATTTAAGATAACAAGTAATACTTGTAAAATGTCTTTTTTTATTATTAATTTATTGGTTGTTTTGACAGTTTTTTTAGCTCTATAATTAGCCATATTATCCCGGATACATTCAGGAGATTAGCCATACATTTTTGTAAAAAAATTTTTTAAATATTTTGTAGATGATTTTATAAGAATAGTAAAAAAAAGATGCTTTCCCAAGTCGTTTAAGGAGTTTTCCTTATGAGTATCGACGCCGGGAGTTGAAGGTAATTGGCTGGATGTTAGGCTAATTGGAGCCCCCGCCACAATTCAACCCCTGTTTAGTCAGTGGTGGTTAAGGGTCCGGCCACCCCTTTCAACGACCAATGGGAAGTCTCGTTCTAAATTGACGTCTGCGCCCTGAATTCACCCTCCCACGCCCTCCGAACCAACCCCCGGCCCCACCATTAAATGGTAAACATTTTCAAATCTGTTCCGCTTTCGGACATTGCCGAGTAAACATCTCGGTTAACTTTTAATCGACCGTCCGACTCGATGGAAGGGATTCTGGTGTAGAAGATTATCGTTCTTCGGGTTCCTTTGGGTCATGGAGTACAATTAGGCACGAACTCGTCTGAATTTTGTCAAAATGACGCAGAACAGGCCGTCGTTTCTGATCAAAGACCTCCTAGGGGATGTGATTGAAGAAAGTGAAGGTAATATTTACATATCTTAAAGTACATTTTTTTTTTACAATAAATCAGCAGGTTTATGAAACAATTTAGTCATAAATTGGAAAGAAAAACGAAACAGAGAATATATTTCAATAAGGCGGGAATTTTTTTTTAAACCTCTTTTAGCTTGAAAAAGAATTATAGCACCCCAATTACCAATGCCATATTAAAAATGTTCTTAAATATTTTAATCAATTGATTTTTGTAATTATATTTTCAATTATTCAAACTCTTGATGATCAAATTTTCTAAGCAAACAACATATTTTTTCTTTGGGATTATTCTTTTAAATCAAACTGTTTTTATATACACCGTCTCATTCTCTCTCACACTCTCTCTCTCTCTCTCTCTCACTCCCTCTCTCTCTCTCTCTCTCTCTCTCTCTCTCTCTCTCTCTCTCTCTCTCTCTCTCTCTCTCTCTCTCTCTCTCTCTCTCTCTCTCTCTCTCTCTGTAACTCTTTATCTTCCTCTAACTCTTTCTCTTTTATTTTATATTTATGTAAATCATTTATAGTTTTTATCTTTTTCATTACCTTTACAGTAAACAAAAGTCATCTATTTGAAAAATTAACAAAATAATTGACCAATTTAAGCTCGAATTCCGGCATTGATTTCAGTGTAAAAAAACATTTTAAAATGATATGTCGCAAGATATCGAGTCCCATTTAAAATTTGAAATTGAACTTAGGTACCCTGTATATATATATATATATTTTTTTTTTTAAACAAGTAGAAATTTTCAACTAGACTGAAAAATATTAAATATTATACATTTAGTATATTTTTTATTGTTTTCTTTTCAAGAGAATCTCGGCGTGACATCTAAGGACTCGCTGTATGCAATCTGTATATAAAATTATCTTCTACATCCTTTTCATCCTGCCACTATATAGTTCTAATATGTATACAACTTACAACCCGTTCCTTTTATATGTAGCCATCCAGATTTTTATAAATATATCGGAAATTTCTGTTACTCGATTGGTTTTGTACTAAAACTATTATTTTCTCGTGATTTCTCCGCGAGTACTGATAAACCTGTAATTTTGTCGTAACCGTCAAATGACATGTTGTGGGACTAAAAGATTAAAGGATTGGGTAATTAAAAATGATAATGTGTCATTAAGTGACATTTGGATGTTATTTAACTCATGCCTGAAATAGTTTTTTACAAATTTAATCAGAACCTAATTTAGGTATTTTGTGTATTTTCAAGCTAGCTTCAAGTTCTTACGTGCAAGAAAATTGAATAAATATTCTAATGACTCTTGTTAATTAGACAAAAATTGTTTTTCTTAATAGATGCTTGTACTTTAATGGAAACTAAAAAAAGAACAGAAGAGAAGAAAGAAAAGAAGAAGTTTCTTCTCCTTAGAATGATGAGATGTAGTTGTTGAGCTCTTTAAGCATTTTAATAATTATTGAGGTAAAGGTAAAGGTCCCGGGTTCGAATCCAGCGGATTTTTTTCAAAAACACCGGCACCCCGAGGGTTGATACAACCTCTGCTGTTGCGAACCCTCGTAAAAGAAAAAAAAATTGAACATTTTTGAATTGAATCCTATAAAACTAGCCTGAATAATAATATAATAAAACTTCACAAAAATGGATAAAAGAGGAGAAATAAACAATTTACAATCCTTAATAATTCATTTCTTGGCATCATAAAGTAATAATCTAAAAATCTAAGATAATATTTATTGTTTAGCCATGTAAGTTTAAGTAAATCTATTTTTCCCCTCGATAGAAAAAATAATGTAAATAATAAAAAATTTGTTATATTCTAATTAGCTGGAGGTAGTGTTGCTAGAAAGAAACTCCACTTTACCATTTTATATAATTAATTAATCTTTAAGTAAGGTATTGATTGAGGTAAAAAAGTCAGTGTCACGAGCGTTTTTATCTCAACCAATACCTTGCTTAAAGATTAATTAATTGAAAGAACTTATTTGGTCAATCGGACCACAAAACCTAATGGATTTTATATAATGTATATATTTGTAAATAAAATTCTGTTCTGTTTGGAGACTAATATAAGAACTTTTTTCTTTGTACTTTTGAAACTCCAACCGTTTAGCAGTAATCGTAATTGTTTTGGAATATGGACTATTTTATTGTGTATTTTTATATCTTTTATAAAATTGAGTATGTGTAATGCTAGTTTGATGCAATTAATGTCAATAACATAATTATAGGCTATTAATAACTGGCACACGTTGCAGGTTTCAAAAGAAGACAATTTTCTCGTTTGCAAATTTACAGCCAATTTTCTTCAAATTTTGATTCTTTCGCTATTGTAAATTTGAATAGCTGTTCATAGGTTGCAGTCAATTACTTAAGTGCGAAAGAGGTACGTGAAAATTTCCAAGGCGGTGTATTAATTATTGAAAATTGCCAGTGAACAATGGCAATTTTACAAATAAACTATTATTTTCTCTTTGCAACACCCTTCAATCATAGATCCCTCGAATCTTTTAGCCGGCGTGAAAGATATGGTGATTGTTTGAAAAGAACAAAAACACTGAGGACGCGTAGTGCACTTGGGCTAGGCGGAAAGTCCCGATGGTGGAATTATTTCGGTTTCCCGCTGAGGCGAATCCTTTTTCTCTTTAGCACAATTAAACCATGGTCAAGGGATCAATGCGCCACGTGACAGCCTCGCTTTATACAAACGGAGGATCGGTTTTAAATTGAGCCGAGTACAAAAGTCAGGAACAGTTTTGAGTGCTGACCTCCTGCTGGGACGGGCCTTTCAGACTCCAAACAGCGCTAATGAAGCCAACCCCCTTTATACAAAACAGCCGATGTTTCTTAAATATCTTAAAACACCACAAATCTGTATATATAATAAAGATATAAATACATTTTACAACGGCCAAACGTCAAGTTAAAATTTCTGTATATTCTAATAAGAAAGATATAGCACACCAACAACTTTAGATTTGCGAGATTAACTTGTTGGGGCCTGCGAAGTGATGAATTGTAGTTAATCTCTGATTATCCATATCTGCATATTACAATTTTTCCAAACATTTATACGTAAAAAACAGGACATACATACGACGAAATTATCAGACCAACCAATGAACAGACAATTGAAATATTAATATTTTTGATACACACACCACATCATCATCTCTCTCTCTTTTCTCCCTGTCTCTTTTTCTTTCTCTTACCCTCTCTCTCGGTTTGTTTCTTTGTATCCATGTTTTTCTTTCTTCCTTAAGCTTCGTTTTCTTCTTACTTCTTCTTATTTTTTTCATTTATCTTGTCATTTATTTCATTTTCACTCCCTTATCTCTTTTTCTCTTATTTTCACATTTCCTCTATTTCGCTCTTCTCTCTCTCTCTCTCTCTGTCTCTCTCTCTGTCTCTGTCTGTCTCGCTCTCTCTCTCTCTCTCTCTCTCTCTCTCTTTCTCTCTCAGACACTCCCTCTCTCTGAGTTTGATTCTTTGTATCACTTTTTTTCTTTCTTTTTTAAGCTTTCTTTTTCTTCGTTTTATTTTTTTCTTTTATTTTCTCATTTATTTCATTTTTACTCTCTTACCTCTTTTTCACTTATTTTCTTTCCTGATTGCTATTTTGATCTTCTCTCTCTCTGTCTTTCTTTCTCTATCTCTATCTATCTATCTCTCACTCTCTTCCTTTCTCTATTTTTCTAAATAACTATCTATCTCCCTTGCTTTATTTTTTGGTTTGTCTCTTTCTTTGTATCGCTTTTTTCATTATTTTTTGGTTCATTAGTGTTTCTTCATTTCTCTTATACGTCCTTCCATTTCTCTGACTCTCCCCCCTTCTCTCTCTCTCTCTCTCTCTCTCTCTCTCTCTCTCTTTCTTTCTTTCTTTCTTTCTTTCTCACGTTCTCCAAGGTAAATGGTAGAAAGGTTTTCGTATCCTAAGTTTGCGTGATAAAATCATATATGACGTGAAACGTTACAATGTTTTTCCTTTCAAGGCGTCGCATAGGCTAAACTCTCATAACTGCTGCTCATTGCAAAATGGTTGGTTTGAGAGAGTTGATGGAAGTTTTGAATTGTTTCAATTTCCACCGAATATTATCAATTGGTTTAGTATAAAAAGGAGAAATTAATAATCGACAATTCTGGTCTGACTACTTTGCCGGTTCGATCGTTCTCTAATCGTTACAAACGTAAAAATATTGCCATGATGGTCAGATTCAGCCAAGCCAATAAGTTGATAAACTTCACAGATGTATACTTCACTTTCTCACAATTGTATTAGTAAAAATTCGAGAATTTTTTGTCCATTGAACCTTATGCCAAATATTTACACAAAATGGACTTACCCAAAAAAGTAGAGAATGGTGATCCACTGGATTTTGATAAAACGTTTTACCTATTTTTTGATATTTTTTTCTGAAACACAAGCAGTTAAAGGGGAACGCGGTGGCCGAGTGATTAAGGCGTCCAAGACGTATTTGCCACGCTTGCCATTCTGGATTCTAACCCCGCACAGCACATGTTTTTTTAATTGAAAATAAAACGAAAATTTTTAAAAAAATGGTTTGATCACCCGTCCGCGATAAACAACCCATAGTTCAACGTTAAACCCTCCGGTATGCAGGAATTATTTATTTTACCAGTAAGTTAGAAGTGAGAGATGCGGTCATCAAAATTTTGCGGCTCTCGATGACCCCATCCCTGATCTCTAACTTACTGATGATATCCTGAAGGTCGATTCATCCTTACTTTGTTTTTTCCCCTTTTTTTAACTTTGTAAGCAGAGATAGAAGTTGTTTTGCAAACTGGCTCATATTTGCCTCTTATCACACACGTAAACAAAAATTTTTCAATAAATTATTATTACAAAGCTCATACCTCTCTAGGCTGCGAAAGCGACGGAGAAGGGCCGCCAAACGCAGAAGAGAACAGGAAGGAAGAAGACGGAAAAAATAGGAAACCGAGGAGGAGAAGGACGGCTTTTACACACGCACAGCTGGCTTACCTGGAAAGAAAGTTCAGATGCCAGAAGTATCTATCTGTTGCTGATAGGAGCGACGTGGCCGATGCTCTCAACCTGTCAGAAACACAAGTCAAAACCTGGTACCAAAACAGGAGGTAAGCGAAAGGTCATAGAATAATTTGTGCCAACTCAACCATATATTTTTAGAATTCAACTTGCTTTATCAACGGGCTTACGTTGGCTTAAGTTGGTAAGAAATAATCCAACCCGTCAAAACGTTATCGTCCTCATTTTTTAGGACGAAATGGAAGCGCCAAAACCAACTGAGGCTCGAGCAGCTGAGGCAGCAGGCGGTCGTGGACAAAGAAGGAGGCCAGCAGCAGAACGGTGACTGCTGTACGTCCTTTCAACCGCCCTGCACTTTTCTCTCAACAGCCGCTGCCATTTTCAGAAACGTCACCTACGTCCATGGTTGTCCTTTATGAATTGTCCTAAACGACTTGTCCTTTTGAAGAACACACATGGGAGACCCGAGAAGAGTTTCCACCTTCGACTGTCCAATTTTTTTGTTTCATTACGATGTTAATTACTTAAAAAATAAATGTGTGGTGTTTACTGACCGTTAGCCAATGATTATATATTGGATATCGTGAGGTGCGGTCTGGTGTGACATAGGTTTTAGAAAAACGTTTTCTATATCGTGCCAACGTTTCAATCTTTATTGTCATCATCTTCAGAGCCTGGGATTTATAAATATTATTTAAATTTTACAAATACATGTAGGATGTGAAAAAATGAATTTATACAATGCTAGGAAATTTTAGATGTAAAAAAATGAATTTATACAATGCTAGAAAATTTTAGATTAAAAAAAATGAATTTATACAATGCTATAAAATTTTAGATGTGAAAAAATGAATTTATACAATGCTAGGAAATTTTAGATGTAAAAAAATGAATTTATACAATGCTAGAAAATTTTAGATTTAAAAAAATGAATTTATACAATGCTATAAAATTTTAGATGTGAAAAAATGAATTTATACAATGCTAGAAAATTTNATTTTCGAGCATTGTATAAATACATTTTTTTTCACATCCTACATGTATTTGTAAAATTTAAACAATTTTTATAAATCCCAGGCTCTGAAGATGATCTCAATAAAGATCGAAACGTTGGCACGATAAAGAAAATGTTTTTCTAAAACCTACGTCACCAGACCGCATCTCACGATCTCCAAATAATTAAAAAATAAAATATAAACAATTTAATATATTTTTAAAAGCAAAGAAATTGGATCTTTCGAAATGTTCTGGCCATTATTGTACTTGTATTAAAGAGTTTCTTTTACTCCATCAAATTCCAAAGTATATGGTTCAGGCTTGTAGAAAACCACTTTCGTCAAAATTTAGAAAATATTTATATTTCATCAAATTATAAGTAGCAATGGTATTTTTTTTCCGATTTCCGTGAGAAATAATTGTTTTTATAATCCCTGAATTCTTCATTGTTTCCACTTTAAAACAAAATCAAATAAATCTAGTCACACCAATTATTGCTAAACCACTATAAGACATAATGTAAATAACAAGTATGCTGTAAATAAAAATGATATCGTTTTGTTATACCATTTTATAAAATTTGTGCGTAATTGTCAACTTTTTGTATATATTTTAATTTGTAGATATAAGTGTAATTTGTGTTGTAATCACCCCTAAACCGAATGTTACAAATTGTGATATGACTGTTTGAAATCAAATAAAAGCAGATTGGCCTCTGGATCTACTCGTATCAGTGATTACAGGGTGGCTCCGACTAACGAAGGACGTATTCATGGCCAAAGGTGTGCCCGGGATGAATGGTTAATTTGGCCGATATAGTTTTCAATGGGGCGGATTCAATGGAACGTTTCAAGTTTGCAGTAGGGTGAGCCGGCTTAAACTAAACAAGCGGACGTTAATCCGTCAAAAAATAATGGTATTTAATAGGCGGATGATTTGGCTTAAAAGCCTAGCGCCAGTGCTTTGGAAAAACCGTTATCCATAACAAATTCGCCATTTAAGGCGAGCGTATAAATATTTTCACTCTCTAAACACTATTTCGTCCTTAAAATTGCTATAAACATTTTATAGCATTAAATTAAAAAATGATAACATTCTCCAAGAACGAGCCTCTAGCTAAAAATTCCTAGTATATTAAGGGAAAAAACAAAATATTGATTATAATACACGAATTAGATTTTCAGAAAATTATACCGAAAAATGACTAATTGGTATATTTGCCTTGCCTCCCGATTTCTAACAACACTTAGAAATCTATATCGAGGGTCAAAAGCTTCCATACAGTGCTCGGAAGGTAGATATAAATTCTTCGAAGTAATGTGAGGAGTTCGGCAAGGTTGTTCTCTTAGCCCTATCTTGTTCTCCATATACATAAACGATCTCGTTGATATTCTTGCTGAACGGGTGGAGGACGATGACATTGCGCTCAAAATTTTTCTCTATCCGGATGACATTGTCATACTTGCAAAAGGCCTAGATCTTCAAATCAACTTTGAAAAGCTGAGGTAATATTGCGAAATGGTTAAAAGTCAACGTAGATAAATTTAAAAATTTGATATTTTGGAATGGAGGTAGACCTCGTACAGTTAGATGATTGGGCATCTGACCAAACAATAGTGTCTATGTACTAAGTTATACTCCAAGATACGTAATAAAGAAAAATTAAAAAATCGCATTGCTTACTATCTGGAATGAGGAAACATCCTACAATCCATTTTAGAGCCAAACTTCAATTTCCAGAGCAATTCTTGCCCTGCTTCAAAAGTTTGTGGATTTACATTTTTGTTGGATGTGGAAAGAGTTCAATGGTTTATTGTTCGTAAACTGCTTTATTTTCCTTCTTTCACCCCGAACTGTTTTATTAGAGACTGAGTTGGATTCAATGTTTCTACCCTCAAAAACTCACTTTAAATGGTTTGAATATTAAATTTTTACCATCAGGCTACCCAAGATTATGACGTAGGACGTATTGGAAGTGTTATGGCGAGAGGGTTGTTTTGGATTTCAGCATGGAAAACCTTTGCACAAAAAAAGACGCAAATTTTTATTGTAGTGACCCCCAAAGAAAATCAAAATCAGTCTTGGTTCCTTAATAACTGATGGTAAGGTTTTCGTAAGAAAAGATTTGCTACCCAGGGTTGCGAACTCCCATGTAAGCTGTACGAAAGACAACCCAAATGTGTACTGTGAAAGCTTAGCGGGTAACAAGAAAGAAAATTCGGAAATTAGTTGTACTAGATAGTTACTAATGCTAAGAGGGAGACTGATCTTGAATATCAAACTCTACAAGGTTTCAGAATGGAAAGAGCCATTGCACTACTCTTTGCAATCTGGAAGCCTAGATTAAACACTGCATTTTGAAGCATCTTGAGAAAAGAGAGAAGTTTGAGCCGATAGAATAATAAACTCAGATTGTACACAATATTATTAAGTCCCTATATATTAAAAACAATATAGTTTTTCTAACTTTAGAAGACAATAAATTAAAACAAAGTTATTTACAAGTTAATAAACTGGTATTTTGTAATTAGACAGATAATTATTTACTTCTAATATATATTTATTTTGCTTATAAATTAGATGCAAAATATAAAAAATAGCACATTTGTTTAGTTTCATTTATATAATATTTTTATTTGACATTACTTAAATTTATCCTTATATGCCACAAGACAAGTGCATGAAAATTTTGAAAAAGATGGGGTGGAAGTGAAGTTATATCTGGTGACAGTGAAGCCACCATGAACAAAAGCAGACCAAAGTCTGGACTCTTCATCTCATAAACGCAGAAAAGCCGATCCATTGGAGCTGAGGTCGTTGGATGCTTTTGAAGGTGAAAAACCAAATAGTAGTTTTTTTCAAAGAATATTGCTTTCATTAGAAACCTTTAATGGGGAAGAAGTTCTCCAGTTTCACATGGGTGTGTTGCAAGTGCTGTCAAGCACTACAGTACTTAAATGTGCATCTTTCTCTTACTGAACTTTCAGTCTACGTGTATCCTCATTCTAAAGTGTTTCCATTTACCACATTCCCAACTTCAATATCTCTGTCAGAGAATCATCTACCACATTAATCAGGGGCTCAAAATTAGCAGGTATGCTCAATTAGGTTATACCAAACATGACACACGTAATCGAAGACTTTAAAGACCTTTATTTAAGTCAATCTATAACGATTTTTCAGTATCTCCGTTTCGTAGCTAGAATACGCAATTTCAGTCAATCTCGGCTTGATATTTGCCGTTGAATGCTATCATTCACCGAATAATGAAACAGCCGTACAGAAATAGTTAAAAAAATTAATGTTATGTTAATTTTTCAGAGAGACAGTCTAAAACGCCTCACTTCAACAATTCTTTGGTTTTTAGGATGTACCCAATAAACGCGATTATATTTTTTTTTCGGTCTCGTAAACATACAATAACCAAAAGCAGCGACGCGCCTACAATCCATGAATGGGGATGGTTAAAGTAATACGGTTATTTATGATGCTCAAAGAAACTACAGCGACGGACAAATGTCGTCCAATGTGAAAATGTTAAAACCACTATAAAATATCGGCCGACTTTTTATCGTCCGACAAATGTCGTCCAATGTGAATGTGTTAAAACCACTATAACATATCGGCCGACTTTTTATCGTCCGACAAATGTCGTCCAATGTGAATGTGTTAAAACCACTATAAAATATCGTCCGACTTTTTATCGTCCGACAAATGTCGTCCAGGGTGAAAGTGTTAAAACCACTATAAAATATCTGCCGACTTTTTATCGTCCGACGCATATCGACCAATGTGAAAGAGGCCACCAAAATTAAAACTATTTTTCTAATAAAACACTAGATTCTATTTTTCACAATAATCTTCACCTGGAAACTTGCAAGATGGTTGGATAAAAAAAACACCATCAGAATGTTATAATGATTTCACTTTAATGTTACCAACCCACCTTTAAGTGACAATAATTAAATGTTAATAAAGTGCATTGGGATGATTACTTTGTTAATAATTTTGTGTTTGCCAAAAAGCAACGCCGCAAGAATTGCCTGTAGGAGGCCTTTTAGGCAAAGAATTTCTCACTGGGTTGAAATGATTTTGCCAAATAATTATCTTATATGATAAATAGAAAATAATCTATGATGAAACTAGTATAATTATTATAGACATCTGATTATCAACTGTTAACCATTCGGTTAAGATTTACTGGAAAAGAGCGTCAGTATGAATGCGAAAGAGACCCTGGAGCTCTATTGATTTATCCTTTTCAAAGGCAGATTCTAACATAACAGGAACCATGTTGAGCCAAACAAAATGCCCATCAAGACACTCGTTAGAGGGAGGTAAATAATATTCATGGGGATGTGGTTGGAACCCGGGCCAATTTGCGCTCGCCGCCCCCTTCCTACCGCCAACCCCCCCGTTTATTAGAAACAGTGATATGAATAGCCGGCTAATACCTCACCCCATCATCACTGATGACGCCAAATGTTACTGTTATTTCAATGCTTTCTAACAC